ATTAAAATTCATTTCAGTGTAGCTCAGCATAGCTATCATTAACTATAGTTTAACACACAACCCTGCCACCTCTGTATTATCTGTGATACACTCGTTTTTTCTTTCTTTCTCAAAACAGATTCAGTGTGCATCCTCTCTTAAGCAGGATCAACTCAAGCCATGTTGTCTGTACAAACAATTGTCATCTCTCTGCTTTTGCAAAGCTGTAAATCTGCTACAATGGTGTGCCAGTCTCTGACAGACATTTTGGCTTCAGACTACCAGCTGTCATGAGAATCTCAGCTGAAACTTGTTAATTACACAGCAGAAGCATCTACTTGTGTCCAGTAAGAATCATTTACTCGTCTTGAACGTTATCCGTTATAAGAGATATGAGGAAGTCTGGTGCAAAGCGATCTCAAATATTTAGAAAACTGGTCCAAAGCCATAAGAGGAAAATCAGCACTAGCTTAAGGTCTCAGAATATGTCATGCAGAGACGGCGTTCGGCTGCCTTCCACAAACAATATGATGTAATTGCGGAGCAAACGGACACCGTGTGGAGGCTTTGCTCACTGTGTCATGCACATGGGCCAACTCTGCACATGAACGCTCTATGTGATCTGTGAGTGCCTCATAGACGGGTATGCTGAGGCCTTTAAGAATACCCTAAATGCCTATAATCTAACACAAAGTTAATTATGTTTTGTTAAAAAAAAGGTAATAATAATAATAATAATAATGTGTCGAGGCGCCAAAATAATAATAATTGTTAGCCTCTGTGATTCAGCCTGATAGTCCGGTGATATTAATTCATAGTTAACTGCTATGTCAGGACAGAACTGGTGGGACATTTGTACACATATGTCATACACGGGTCATTCCATCTCAAGTGGTGCAATAATTGGAAAGTTGGTTACTTGACTGTTTTAAATTAAAAACATTTTTTTGGAGTGATTACCTCTATGTATTGGCATTGCAAAACAACCCATTTTAAAAAATATATATAATTTTTTTCTTTTACTTGATTTAACTACAACGGCCATCTTTGTGTTATGGCACACAACAAATTTTGATTATGTTTACAGAAACCTCAATATCTCGGCTCAGGATGGTCCTAGATCCTTGTAACAAAAACTGATCTCTAGTGCATATTTCAAGATGCATGCACATATAAATATTTTGCACATTCATGTTCCTTAGACATAGAACTTAAGATCAAATGTAATGCACAAGATTGCTCACAATTTATAATAGGAAGGATTTGAATCTCAGTCCTAGGAGGTACCTTGGTAAGTATAGTGTGCATGCAGAACATTTCAGGTTTGAGAATTCTCTCTTGTATATGGGGTGAGAAAGTGCATGAAAAAAAAAAATCCCCTCAGTTTCAGGTTGAACATCTCTGATGGAGGACGAGACACAAACTTGAAATTTTGACAGAAATAAGTCCTTTATAGTAGCATTCTGCTGAAAAAAATTGTGAGCTTGAGTTCGGAAGTAAACTCTGTAGGAGAGTAGACCTCGAGGGCCAGATTTGAAGATCCAGCCTGATCTACCATGTTGGTACAGGTGTACAGTTGGTATCCGTGAATAGATTTGATCCAAATATGGAATTACAGTATTCAGTTGGGTGTTTTACAAATGAACAGTGTCATAAACAGAACTATGGTGTTGTTTCTCCTCCGATAAAAGAAACGACTACAGCTCAGAAGTCACTAATCATTTACTGCTTTTAATACAGGAGAAACATCATAATAGCTTGGTAAATTTTGCAATGGCAATACACTGAGGTAATAATAATAATAATAATAATAATAATAATAATAATAAAACGAAGAAGAAAATTTTAAACAGCAAAGCAACTTGCATTGGACCATTTGAGATGGAATGACACACACCAGTTGTATGGAATCCTCTTCATGATTTTTCAACTTTAAGCATGAAAAAAGATGAAATACATTATAACAGGCAAGAGTAGACAAATAATCAAGAAAGAACGGAGAAAGTAAGTGAATGAGCCAGTATGGTAATATGGGAGGAAAATGGATTTAGGAGTGATAGAGATTTTTATCTTATACTGAACAAGTAAGGTATTTGTTCTCTATTTTGGTGGGAAGCCAGTGAAAGATAGTCAAATTACTCCCCTCAATTCCTTATGGAATTTTGTTAAAGTTGTTTAGGCAGAGAACTCTAGAGTCTAGAGAACTCTAACTATAGTTGGAAATAGCCAGCTATTTTCTAATGGGAGATATCCAGGGGGTCTGCTTGACCCACTGCCTAATAATAATAATAAACACAGTCTAGACAATAAAATATACAGAAAACACAGATCAAGTAATATAAATCACACATCATAAGTGAAGAAATGGTTTTATTCTTTACAATATACTTCAGCTAGCAAGTTTAAATTGCAAGATAAGTTAGAGGTAGTTATCTATTGTTTTCAACCTCTGGCCTTTAAGTCTAAAAATGTGGATACTTGTGGAATCTGAACAAACAATAAAGCATAATTTAGCTCTAATGGATGTCATTGTGAGTAGTATTGAGTACTATAACATTTTATATCTTAAGTGCAATCATGCTGTACATCCATGTGACTAAATGTATGGTGTAGAATTCGGATATATTACCTAATCTGTTGGTTGGATTCCTTTTAAAAAGTGCTCGCAGTAAACTCTGCACCTCTGGGCTTAAGAATTGCGGCATGCCAAGCTTTGCCCTAAAAATTAGATTCAAATATTAACCACACATCTCCCCAGATGACAAAAAAATTTACATTTCATGTGATCTTGATAAAATAAAACTAAAGCAACATGAGTACACACACTAGCAGGCTTGTGGGATATAATGCAGTCCGTACAGGATTTCACGAAGTTTATTTGTGATTGTTGCGGCCAAAAATGCTTGATTTTTTGCAGAAAGCTACTCGATTTGGTGTAATCTCAATTGCATAAAATTGTCTTGCACGGCCTTTCGCAGTGATGTTTGTTGGTAAATGAGACATTTCAGCTGTATTCATGTTCGACGCACATGAATCGAACATGGCTTTCGCTGAATGCGCGTGTGATGACGGCACATGACGCATCTTGGCCCAAATCTGCATAAAATCTGCAGCGATTATGGAAAATTGCAAGCTCCTCAGAATATTGTGGCATTTACTTGATTTTGTTTTAATTTCTGTGACTGCAAAATCATGAAATCTTGGCGGGACTGTTAGAATTTCAGATAAAGTATCAAACTGCCACGATGTCCAGTGATATTTACTCTGTTTATGTTATGTCATCAGGTCTGCCAACCTTTACACATTTAACATTGGAGCTCCACAGTGGAGCGATAGGAGTATTATAGTACAACTTATCACTCCAAAATATGTCAAAAGAGCAGACTTTTTGCGTGTAGAAGCCCTGCCCCCTTCCCCCATCTCCCGTTCTCTTGACCGTACTTGCGTCACACCTCGCTGTCTGTCACGGTGAATGGAGAATATTTGGACTAATTCATGTGAAATAAAATCTATCAGCTGATAAATGTATAACACCATACCATGTTCTACTTAAACCTAAAATGGTGGAAATGCTCATTTATCGATTGAGATTTTTTTCATGAGTAAGTGAAAATCTATATATCGTACAAGCACAGACGCTAGTAATTCACCCACTAGACATTTTCAACAGTAATAATAAATCAATCTTACTTGAGAATAAGTGCCATGGTCTCCTTGCGGTCTTTTCCTTGAAATGGCAGAGATCCAGTCAGCATTTCAAACTGGAGGATAGCAATGAAAGTGTTAGTCTTTGGTGTCAGCTAGACGTTATGACAACAACATATACTTTCAGAGCATCACCACTCACAGGTGGTGTCTTCTGCCTGCATTCTGATTGTGCAACCAAATGTTTCCCTGAGATATTAGGACACAAGCCAGCGCTCAGTCTGCTGGAGCTGTTGCTAAATTTATACGTTTGACAGTCGATGTAATCTTCAAAAAGGAGGCCAGGGAATAACATAAGCCATTTCAGAAGGTGATATGTATACCCTGTATGTGCGAAATACTTGCTATAAAAATGCTGCCTGATGTGTTCTCTAATACAAATATGGTCTATTCGATCATATTAGAATGAATAATTATTTTATTTCTAGAGAAACTGAAAAGTGTAAAAAGGGTGTTTGTGTTTAATTAACCCATCTATTAACTTCGTAATTCATTTTCATTCTTTAAAAATGCATTTGAGAGCTGATTTATTTATTTTTGGCTGTCCTGAGCACTAAACCAAATGTCATTTAACTCAACAATGAGTCATCAAGTCGTTTAACCTTGGGAAACTGAGAATTCTTGAAGGGCGTAGAATCAACCCGAGCCACGCTGGCTGCAAGGACTGTTGTCTTAGCCTTTTTTTTTCCCTTCTTCTTCTTCTTGCATTTGTAGAGCTGCAAAAAAACCACTATTGATGATGTGCTAGCTTAAAAATAAATTTGCTGACTTGTTTATGTCTAAATCTGCCTGCAAGGGTGACGCTTATAGTTTTCAGCTACCAGGCGTCACGAAGCGTCTCGGCTGAAAGTCTGTCATTAATTATACGACAGAAGGGTGAGCTAGCTTTCAGTGAATATTATTCGAATCATTTGAACGTCTTAATGATTAACTGTCAAAAAATACCAAATAGGAGAGTTGTAAAAGAGTGCATGTTTTTTATAGGGACAGACAAAAACTGGTGAATGGTAGAAAGGAAAGTTTAAGTAAACTATAGATTTTAATAATGGGCAATCACTGATTGGGTATCATAGTATTATTAATGTACGTATGAATAATTATTATCCATTCTCCTTTAAGCCTAGTGCAATATTATTAACCTGGCTGAACACATACAATATTAACCCACATTTTGCTGGGTGTGCCAACCCATCGCATGGCACAATACGGATAATTTAGAGATCATGCAATTCAGGTCTTTAGACTGGTGGAGGAAACTAGAGTAACCGGAGGAAAGCCCTGAAGCATGGTGAGAACAGGCAAGCTCAATACACACAGGGCAGAGGTGGGATTCCAACCCCCAACACCGAAGGTACGAGGCAAACGTGCTAACCACTAAACCACCGTGCCCCCTGCCTCTGTAGTAAAATATTCAAATGCATGTCTCAGGTTAGAGTTTCATTCAGTGAATCACAATGAGCACACACACACACACATCTGATATGCCTATAGCTCTTCTTCTGTTTACTGGTGATAAAGCCTTCTGTAATTATATAGTCTTGTATCCAACTGGCTCGTCCTCCTGCGTCAAACACACTTACCATCAGCACGCCAAAAGACCACCAGTCTGCACTTTGCGTGTGTCCTCTCCTATTGACTACCTCTGGGGCCATGTACTCGATGGTCCCACAGAACGAGTATGCTCTCTTGTCGTGATCTATCGCTTCTTTACTCAGACCAAAATCTGAAACAGCAAGAGAAAGACATTTCTCTTAACATAACCCACAATCCCTGTGCTGATTTTAAGTGGTGGGTGGAAAAAAATTAAAAGAATATATCTTACCAGTGATCTTTATATGCCCATCCTCATCAAGAAGAATGCTGTAAAATAAATGGTTAACAAACATTTACTTAATGCTTTTAAAGAAGAAATTAAATGAAAATGCTAAGATGTCTAATGAGCTCAGTAGGACACGTTTGTCCGTATGAACAGAAGTTCAACGTCCTGTGGGAGTGGTGGCTTGGTGGTTAAGGCTTCGGGTTACTGATCAGAAGGTCGGGGTTCAGGCCCCAGCACTGTCTGGCTCTGGACCGTGAAGGTCAGGGTAGTCAACTGATCAGAAGGTCGGTGCTGCCAAGCTGCCACTGTTAGGCCCTTAACCTTCTCTGCTCCAGGGGCGTCGTTTCCTGGCTGAACTTGCGCTCTGACCCCAATTTCCTGGCATGCTGGGGTGTGACCAATAAAGACTCACGCTTATCTTACGCTTGGTCTTTAGCTACATGCCATTAATCATTTGCACTGTCTACTTTGCAGTTCTCCAAGAAACCCTATGTTGATTATACCGCCTCATACCCATGTCCCCTTGAGGAAGAATGAACTTGAGGAGTTCAGAGTAAAAGTCGGTGTGGTGTTCAATGCTCAGCAAACTGTGAAAAAAAAAAAAGTGTTGCTGTTTGAACAAGCAGAACACTGGTGTAGATTTCAGCTGTCTATGAGGGGGAAAAGCTTCAACTGTGCTTCTAAATCTGGCCCAAGTGCAGCTGCTGTGTTAATCACACCTGGGCACCTGGATGGATTTTTTTTTGGATCAAAGCAAGTGGTTATATCACCTCAGCTGAACTGCAGGATTGCCAGCGGAATTATGCTGTGGTTTTTATTCGAGAGCATTTAATCCGAGCGGTGCTTCTGCAGCCCATAATGGCTGGGGTAAAAACCTTATTATGAATCATACAGCTCCAGAATTATTGGCATCCCTGATAAAGATAGTAAGGTACTTATGATAAGTAAGGTGGGGGGGCATCCTTATCAATTATAAGCACCCATGATTTTACTACTCTGTGCAACCCCTATTTGCCAGTATAACAGCACTGTATAACAATCCTTCTTTTTATTTTATTTATTTATTTATTTTTTACACCAAACCAACTTGAGTGTTTGCTGCCTCTATTTGTGTCTCATCTGACCATAGAACCCAGCTCCAGACAAAGATCCAGTAGTGTTTAGTGAACTCCAGGCACTTATGTTTGTGGTTAGGTGTCTTTCTAAGTAGTTCTAATCTAATTGTAGATTTGGAAACTTGGCGATCCCTAAATGATGCCATCGTCTGCAAATCTCCAACTGTGATGGTTGGAGAAATGGGAAAAAATACACTTGTATCCCTCTTCCAGGCAAGGTACAGCTTTACAGCTCTTCTTAATTTCAACATCTTAATGATTGCCCAAACAGTGGATATGGGCATTTTCTTAGAGTAAATTCACTTAAATTAAAAGGTTCGCTCATATTTTCAGTACGAGTTTAAGCTAATTAACCACAAAGATTTTTTTTTTTAGAATCTTTTTTACCCAACATTACCAAGGGTAAAAATACTCGTAGAGCTGACTGCGATGAAGAATTTGTTGTAGTAGGTGGATCACAATCTGCTATTTCTGTAGGACATATGAGGTTTACAGTAAAGTATGTTTTTTTTTATAATTTTTTTTTATATCACACTTACTTTTCTGGCTTGAGGTCACGGTAGATAATTCCCAGGCTGTGAAGATGGTCCAGAGCTAAAGCCAGCTCAGCCAGATAGAACTTCACATCCTCCTCAGTAAACATGACCTGTAGAGAAAAGCACAGGCAAACCGAGAAGATTCTGATCAAACTTTAAAATGCTTCATGCAGCATTTAAAGAGGAGAGAAACCTACCAAGTAACCGCCATGGCACACGCTACTCGCACCTTGCTGCGCAGATCAATTTTAATTACCGGGAAATTTATTTAGCTTTTGCACAGGATGTGCTGGGAGACAGACACCAGCATTCCGTGGAAAGAAAATTGGCTTGCAAAGATTGTAACAAGTTCCAGGCAGGAGTGCGGGCAGATGCTGCTGGCAGATGACTGATTCCAGCACCGGCGATAATTAATTCACATCTCCCGTTTCTCAAGCCTCTGCGCAGAGGATCATGATTAAATCACGCTTCACGCATGGCATCACCGAGTGTGGTAAGAGTCTGGCCCGGTGCTGTTCTAAAAAGGAATAGAAGCAGCGCTAAAAAGGTAAGGCTGGCACTTCTGAAGTGTGCTAGTTCTTACGCAGTAGCTGCAGTTTAGAATGGATTATGTCTTGCTGATTTCCTGTAGAAGATTGTTCAAGATGTTTTGGCTCGCTACGTGCAAAATCATAGAGGCTAGAGGGCAAAAAGGATGCATGCATGGTCGCATATGGTTTATTGTCTTTAATAAAGAGCTGTGTTTATGAGGCATCAAAACCCATATGTTCAGGTGTTAATGAGTGTTATGCACAGAGGCTGTCCTGTCTGAAGGTGATGATGCTGAGACTAGGTGGGACTGGATGCTTAGCAAAGGAATGACTCTCATTAATCACTGTCTGAAGAAAAGCACTGAAAAAAAAAAACTATACATGCTCAGTCTGGTCTGAGAGCACTGTTAAGGCTGTGTAATGCAAAAACAAGCAAAAACAAACAAACAAACAAACAAACAAAAAAAACAATATATAAATAAATATGACTTCTTTATGTGTCTTGATGCAACTTGGTATTTGATTTGGATTTTTTTTTCCTTCTTGGTTCATTTGAAGCATTAAAAAATTAGGCTCAATGCATTTCCATTATGTGAGCATGAGCATAATATTTATGTATTTACCTTGCAATAATTAAGAATACATTTAGTATTTTTTAGTCACCTGGGACCCACTTTGATAAGCATTTGTATAAGCTGTAGCTTTATTCTTCCCGTCATGTCAGGTCAGCATTTGCAATGCAAATTCCCATGGTCCCAGTCAGCAACCATGTCACGTGACAATCGAGCAAATTCGTAATTAGAGGACTTGTTTTAGAGGCTTAATCAGAGAACTCTATTTTACATTAACGCTTGATAACAATGTACCTATACAGACAAAAGGACTGGTTCTGTGCTGTCAATCAATAAACTCGCCACTGCTGGATAAATGTAGTTGATTCCTGGTTACCGCAATGTGCAATCCTTATTATGCTCTAAAGCTCCTAATGTTATAAGGGTTTTCAAAAATAACTTGTAGCATCCCCTATCGTATCACCAAGGCAACAAGTTATTCTCGGCAATCTCAATCAATGCACATAGACTGAATTAAGCGTCCTTGGTAATCATAAAGTATCACTGTGTTCACCGTTTCGCCATTGTTGTTTAAATCCCCTGACCAGTGTACACTAAGAAAGGAATATGATATGTAAGGAATATGATAATAAACATGCCTGTACTATTGCCGTAAATCAGAAATGGTATTTCTGTCAGCATTTAGTAATCTTGGCAACAACCACAGGAAAATCAATAATCTATTCCTGCTGTATTTTAAAATGGGATTTGAAGAAAATCACAGAATGGGCCCCCCCCGAGAAGATAAAAGAGATAAGTGATGCAATCATAGGAATGAAAGAGTCCATTAGGGAGAGTTATAACAAAGCACTGGTGATGCTGATTACACCATGGTGGGACAATTCATTGGAGAATAGCTGGCAGACATGCCTTTAATTACCCAGCAGCATCTGAATAAATCTCCATTAGGGCGCTATCTTCACACAGCTATGGTTCTGATATGGCTACTAAAAGATGTTGACATCAAACTGGCATTTAAAGGCGCAGACCATGGCGTGGATATTCTCTTATAACAACACACCGTTTGTTTTACTCCTTACTTACTGAATAGCAAACTCAAATATTCTGGTCAAATGATTGGAATCAAGGCATGTACATGTAATCAAACGTATGGATGTATCTCAGACATGCTCCCAGGAAAACATCCTTTCCAACATCCAAATATTTGACTTGATGCAGCAATAATTATTCATGTATTTGTCTTATCCTTTTTTTTTGCATTTAAAGTCCTCAAATGCAAGTAAATCCTAGCGAAATGTGTTATGACTAGAGCGTACTGTACATACAGATGATACATATAAACATAATACATATAAAGCACAGAGACGCTAACAAACACGATCACTATTAGGAAATTTGCTCTTTAACTGGAGTATAATTTAACATTTATATTTGTACACTGATTCAACTATATTCCCATGAAAATAAAGCCAATACTATGTGTTTATTACATTTTAATTGACACCTTCCAGTTTCTAGATTTGTGGGGTTTTTTTTGGGCCTGGCAATCCAGATTTCGCTGTATTTTAAAAATTGTTTACACTATAGCACAAACTGTTGGATTCTCAAAGCTGATCGGTGGTTCATTTTCTAGATACTTTCAATACAAATCGTAGTGCGCTTGTTCTAATACGTGATCATTTCTAACCCTAACCCTAAATGTAAATCATAAACTTCCTATTTTTTTTTTTTTACATACGAATTTAGTTGTGAAAACTGTTATGGCTTGACCAAAAACCAACCAAAAAAAACAACAAAACGATACAGTTGTGCCAAAAAGTCTGCACACTCCTTGCAGTATCTGCTAAATTTTAAATCTGCTAACAAAATAAGACGGATAATAAAAATCCCATGTTTTTTTATTTAGTACTGTCCTGAAGAAGCTATTTCACATAACAGATGTAAAGTCCACAAGACACGATAATAGTTGAATTTATGAATACTATCCTGTTCAAAAGTTTACATACCTTAGTACATATTCTTAATACTGTGTGTGGCGTAACCTGGATGATAAATGACAGTTTTTATGTTTTGTCAGAGTTGTTTATGAGTCCCTTGTTTGTCCTGAGCAGTTAAACTGTCTGCTGTTCTTCAGAAAAATCCTCCATGTCCTGCACAGTCTTTGCTTTTCCAGCATCTTCTGCATATTTGACCCCTTTCCAACACGGGCTCTATGATTTTCAGATCCATCTATTCACACTGAGGACGACTGAGGGACTCGTGCACGACTATTACATAAGGTGCAAACATTCACTGATGCTCAAGAAGGCAACACGATACATTAAGAGCCAGGGGGATGTAAACTTTTGAACAGGTTAATCTGTGTAAATTGTTATTATTTTGTTTAAAGATCTTTTTTTTCCCCATTTAGTACCGCACTTCAGAAACTAAAAAAGATAAGAAAAATACTAACAATTTACACCGATCATCCTGTTCAAAGGTTTACACCC